TTATCACGTCGCGTGTAGTTAGGACACGGTGTAAGGCACCATATACGACAATTTTGCCAAAGCGTAGACATCCAACACCCATGGTACCCTTTAGCGTCAAATGAGGCGCTTCGGTTAAGGTAGATTTATGTATGGGGTAGTGTTAGGGTTAGACCACTAGCAGGTGCCTTCTGCTCCATATACATCTGCGTCTCATTTGAGGCTTTGATGTCTACACTTTGGCAAAAGCTATTATTATGAAGTGATATGGTTTTTTATTTGTGAGAAAGAAACATACTTCAAAATCATTTGAAATACAGGTAAGAAATTGGTTGCCTGGCGCAAATTCAAATATATAGGTAAAACAATCATTATACAAAACACGTGATTGTGGAATGCTGCGATCGACCAATTAGAATCAAGTATTCAAGAGGTGAAAGTCAGTCGCTATGCAATGCTCAATACCATTCAGACTTTTTTTTTTTAAAGACACTTTGCATTCAAACTGTAAAAAGGTCATGGAGAGAATCATTCTCTATTTAATAATAAATGTGTTTATTCATTTATTCTGAATAAATAAGAAGAGCATTGTACTGCTGGGTCATTATCTGATGATTTTTAATTACCAGTGCTGGAAAATGTCAATAGGTCTAAAACGAGAGGAAACATCAAATTACTTACGGAATGTATGAGAATCGTTTTGAAATATTTCAGCTGGTCCCACAGTTTGCCATGTTCACCTTCTTGGGCTGTCAAGACTGCCAACGTTAAAACAAATTACTAAACAAACCTCGTGGAAGAGAGAAATTTGACAGACATGAATTGATTTCCTCTCTGTATCAAAGGAACACTTAGATTTAGACGTTTCACAGGTATGTTTAACCGCTTTTGAGCAGACACATTCAAACACAAATACATGGATGTACTGTGGGGTCCAAGAGTCTGAGAACACTTGTGAAAAAGCATTACAACTTGTTAATTATTATTATTTATTTCAAAAGGGTTGATTATTTGAAATTACCAGTGCTGGAAAATGTCAAAAGCTCTAAACAAGAGGAAAATGTTAACACAGTCTCATCCCAAAAAGTCATATAACTGACGTCTTGGGACGTCTTTTGACCATACGTCAATATCCGCCTTATTAGGGCCCCCTTAAACGTCGTAGATGGCGATCCGGGCCGTCATACAACTGACGCTTTACCTTTAACATCAGTAGGTGACGGTTAGGTTTAGGTTTAGGTATGGGGTAGAGTAGGATCCCATAACTCATCTACCGACGTTTAAGGGGCCCTAAAAAGGCGAATATTGACGTATGGTCAAAGACGTCCCAAAACGTCAGTTATATGACGTCTTGGGATGAGACCGGGTTGAAAATGTACGTAGGGAATGTATGAGAATTGTTTTGAAATATTTCAGCTGGTCCCACCTTTGAAAATGGCAAACTATGTGGGAATTTGAATGCTGGATTTCTATGGTCTCAGGCTTTTGGATCCCATTATGAAGTACAGTATTTCAAATCTGAAAAAAAAATAATATATCAACCATGAAATTATTCTAAAGATGCAACCCACACTCTTCAGGCTGCGTTTAGTCATGTTATGCACCATATAATGCATAAACACTTAAACCTGAAAGGTAAAACGCTAAACGAGGCATATTGCAAACAATAAAACACCCTGCCTGCAGACCATAGGTGAATATACATGTCTTGAGAACAAAAAGCAAAAGATTTTGGTGTGAACGCCAACACCATATTTTGGCATTCTACATGTGTGAATTGTCTGTCCTATCTGTTAGTCTCGAGGGACAACAGGACAGGTGGCCATCATAACCGAAACAGATGCTGAAGAGAAGCAGTGCTGATGAGATTGTCTGGCTACTGAGAGAAAAGGAAAGTGGAGATGAAGTCAGCACTTTTGTTCTACTTCATACGCGGTCAAGGCCGCCATGTTGAGGCACGTGTAAACTCTCGCTCCCCTGTGACAAAACGAGAAAAATAGCTCTCGGCAAAATGCACGTTTCTTTTTTCCCTCTTGGAAGAAGGGATTTGTTTTTTTTTTGTTTTTGTCTGTTTAACATATGAGGGTGTTTCTCTAGCATAAAGGGCTGTTTCTGAGAGGAGTTATGAGAGGAGGCAACAATGAATAGACCGTTTGCACCATAAAATGTCTCCTTTGTTTGAATGGAAGGCTAACAACAATGCAAAGCACAACAGTGAGGTATTTTCTCCGTCTGATGAGGAGAGGGATTGTACTGAAAAAAAAAGAAAGACAAAAAAAAAAGATTTCTATAGCAACGCAGGATTCAGAACCTTAAAGTCTTATTTTCCAGCATACAGCAGAACTTGATTACACAATGAAAGGTGCTAATTTAAGAGCTGAATTTACATGCTAACAATCCTTCCATTCAACTATCGCGATTCAGATGATCTATATCTCATTCGAGCCAGGCATCTGAATGGCATGAAACAAAAGAGATACACAATAGTGTATGATGTCGTATAGACTAATGGGATTTATTTTCAAAAGAACAAAAAGCACAGGACCGCTGGTTTCAGCATACCGTCATATGGAAATAAAGAAAAGGCGACGGACTACAATATGAAATCGCATTATGCCTGTCGCGATTATTTACATTGTGATTATTTTAGATAACTGTGACCTTTGTATTCAAATTATATACTGCCATATGGGAATTTTAAGCAAACATGCACATCTTATAAATGTCAACAATGCAAATATTTTTACATTCACATAATTGCAAATATCTTTGGATGTCCCGATGGTAAAACCAACATGCATCACATAGAGCAAGAGATCTGAAGATTTGAAGAAAAACTCTTTCTTAATGCACAAAGACGACATGAAGGATTAAATGGAACTGGCTTAAAAAGTTGTGTGAAAGTTATAAATTAGAACAGAAATAAATTACTTATGATGTAAACTTAGGATAAAAAAAATAAACATAATATAATTTATTATTATTATTATTATTCATGTATTATAATTTATCTATTTAAAAAAATGTTTTCTAACAAAGTTATTTGATTACTTACTGTTAAATGACTAAATGTAAAAATGTAAATTGAAACATATTATGTTAATATTTAGGTCGGCAAACTACAGAGCTCCTTAAGGGACATAAAAAAAATTAATGGGAGTAAAAAAATAAAATAAGTCAATGCTTTTGTATTCTCTTGCAAATGCTCCCATGAGTAACTGTGTGTTTGCTCACAAAACCTTTGCCTTCTCCCGACAAACTTTGCGTTCACTCAGAAAACCCTTTAAGTTTATTGGCAGAAAGCAAAAGTTTACGCAAAGTTTCACAAAGTTCTCAGGGGAACACAAACCATTTGTTAGAGAACGCAAAAGCATTGATAAATAATTTTCCCTATATCTCTTTTTTTTTCCCCCACCACCATATCCCTTTGGGCGCTCCATAGCAAACGACAAACAATTAAAAAATTAAATTAATAATATATATATATTACATTTTTTTATTATTATTATTTAGAATATTATGGTGCACTGTGCATATACAGTCAAACCAAAATGTATTCAGACACTTTTAAAATTTCTCACATGATCACAGTTTATTCTCTATAGTTTAGAAAATGGTAATACAATATGACACAAACTCAGAGTTATTAAATCAGTTGATATTTCACTGGTTTTAGATATCCTTCTGTTAGACTGTCTCACAAATGAATTAGGTTAAATATCTGTCAGATGTTCAATTTAAGTACACAGAAATTCTTAATTTTGTTCAGTCTGTGGTGTAAAAAGGTCGCATTAGCAATTAAAGAAAAAACACTTAAGCAAAACAAGGTCAGGTCAAAGTGTTTTGGTCCCAAATCTTTATAAATTTTACCGTTTTTAATTTTACTGTAGTCCACTTTATGAATACTTTTTAGCATAATATGTCACAGTTTACTTTATTTTGCTAACCTCACATAAATGAACTGTGTCCTGCACCCAGGAAAATAATTTTAAAAATATATATCTGGTGTCGGAATCATTTTGGTTTGACTGTATATATGTGCACACACACAAACACACACACACACACACACACACACACATATATATGTTTCCATTTTGACTAAATTAATTTAGGTGTGTCTATTGCAATACAGATCATTTCTGTACGACATTTAAAGCAGGCCAGATTTTCTCAATGGCGTCATCCTCCTGGTAAAAATGTAAATGGACGCCGATTTGAGTTCTCCTGCATTGTTTTCTATCAGCATACACTGTTGTTGTGCAGCTTCGCTGGGGTGTAGTAGTCTGTGCTGATGAATTAGGAGAGCTGTTGGCTGGCGTTGGAGAGGAATGCAGCAGAGGTGATGAATATTAGTGTCTTCTCTGGTGTTAAGTTTGAATTAATCATCTCACGGCTGGTGAGCAGAGCCACAGTCCAGCGGCTTTACCACTACGGTCCCACAAAGAGAATGTATTGCATCAGTCCAGCATGGTACACTGCACCCCTAAATGTTTGCTTCCCTCCTTTCCTTTTTCCGGACAAAAGGAAAGAAACAGCGGAGAACATGGGGGAGCCGAGAGAGACGCAGAGGGCCACACAAGAGGAATAGCTTGGAGACGTTCTTTGCAGTTTATCATCTCGCTCCGCTTTCAGAGGATTGTTAGAGGGGAAACTGAGATCAGGAGCCTTCTAGCCATGAATGTCCAATTTGGAGACCGCTGCTTGTACGTACTGATGACTACAAAATACTAGCAGCTGTTCTCACACCATTTCCTCCCTATTGGCTTTTTCCCGCTCACGCTGCTCTTCCCTGTTTCTCTCTCTCCCCTCCAGCACTCCGCGGTGATAGATAGACATATGTCTGCGACACCAAAGTGCCTATCTGGCCCTGGTGTGTCAGCTCACCTTTATCAAAGCATGCACAGGTATATCCAGCTGCCATGGCTCATTACACCACCGCAGCGTGCCTGAAATGTTTGAGCTGCTTCTGTCGCACCCCTCCCTCTACATTCCTCCCCCCAACCCATCACCCCTGCGCTCTACTAACTTTGTAGCGCCCGAGCTAAAGGAGACAATTGAACGAAGGCCATTAGACAGCGGCGGCGGAAAAATGGGCGCGGGTGAGTGATGGATGTTAGCACAGGCGCTCCGGCTGAGGGCAGGTGATCGGCGCTAACGAGGGAGCCATCAGGCCCGCTTCTGACAGATGGGGACGGGGCGGCTGATATTGGCAGGCGATTGACAGCGAGCGCGGTGATTAGCGTCGCTTAAAGCCCCCGCTACCTCTCGCAAACCTGCCCCTCCTGCATGGAGACTGACCGCTGGATGACACCGGCTGATTGTATTGACTGAGGGACAAAAGGACAGAACGGTACAGAGTTTTCTCTGGGAGAATTTGCGCTTTTTTACGTGCCGGATTGTCATGTCTTATTAATACAAGCTTGTGGATTTATTTATTTTTAAATCTATAACTCCAAAAGAATAGGCAAAATCTTTTTGTTTTAAATCAAGATTTTAGATTTTAAAAATAAATTTTAGCTTTTTAAATAAATTATATATATATATATATATATATATAATCTATTGGCTATTAGAAAATGTCATTTTTAACAATGCAGTCATACAAAAACAATTATGAACATATGCAAAAACAAGAGAGAACCAACAAAACATTAATAACTGATTATGTTTTAGTAAAAGTATGCTTTTTCCTGTGTTCCTTTGGGGAAAAAAATGTGTGTCTATATATATATATATATATATATACACACATATATATATACACATACATACATACATACAAATGAAAAATTTCTATATATATATATATATATTTAATTTTAAATACATTTATAAATGTAAAAAAATATAATATATAATCACGTTACAACACAAATTCTGCCAACTACCCAACAACTACTAAAGACTGCAAACATTTTTCTAAATTCCTTCTCACAATAAATTCGAAACCCACTTTTCTCTATCTTTTTTTTTTTTTAAATCTATAACTCCAAAAGAATAGGCAAAATCTTTTTGCTTTAAATCAAGATTTTAGATTTTAAAAATAAATTTTAGCTTTTTAAATAAATTATTTATATATAATATATATATATATATATATATATATATATATATATATATATATATATATATATATATATATATATAATCTATCGGCTATTAGAAAATGTAATTTTTAACCATGCTGTCATAAAAAAATGAACATATGCAATAAATATGAATAAATTATGAACATATGCAAAAACAAGAGAGAAACAACAAAACATTAATAACTAATTATGTTTTATGTTTTAGTAAAAGTATGCTTTTTCCTGTGTGCCTTTGGGAAAAAAAAGTGCGCCTATATATATATATATTTAATTTTAAATAGATTTATAAATGTAAAAAAAATATATAATATATAATCATGTTACATCACAAATTCTGCCAACTACCCAACAACTACTAAAGACTGCAAACTTTTTTCTAAATTCCTTCTCACAATAAATTCGAAACTCACTTTTCTCTATCTTTCCCATGTATTTCTGCAGTCCATCCTTTACTCTCATGTGCTATTCTACCAAAACTCCTTTACTCATCTGATTACCTATCCATCCATCATCCACTCTTCAAAATTGTATCAAAACAATGAGGCAATAATGATCTAAGCCCTCTGCTAGTGTGGTGGACCCACTACAATGAGACTGCGCTAACGTTCATGGCCTGCGGACACGCAGATCTGTAATAAATCCTTCAGCGCTAGTGTGCTGTTCCGGAGGAGCTGGTTCACCTTGTTAGGAGCTAACAAACAGCCTTGGGCCTCCTGGTTAGCTGCACAACTCCATTAGTCATCTGATGAAGAGCCCATGTCTGATACCAGCACAACAGCAAGGCAACCACTCCATCTTTACCTGCGAGAGAAGGCTTCAGTTATGTCCCTGCTAAAGCACTTTTATATGAAAGCATTTCAAATGTACAGTATGAATTAGGGGTGTGGCGATATCCTCATGTCATGAATCGATGCATATCACGATACTGAGCTCGCAATACAATATTAATGCGATACTCCAAGACATATGATAAAAAGATAACAACTGTTGATATAAATGCTTAATTTGATATTACATTGTGGGTGTAAATAAATAGGCTTGGACTTGGTGCTGGTAACCCAACGCAATCTGGTGACACCAGAATAAAAAGCTGGAAATGACAGAATTATGTTAGACAAATATGCTTGCACTCGAGTCTCGTTCACTGACTAGATATATTTATAACAAAGTTGGCAACTTTTTACTTGTAGCATAAGACATTTGGCATTTTCAGGCCCCACAAATATTCCCCCATTGCATTATTATACATTATATTCAACATTATACTCTTGTCACTGTCCACCATACATACAGTAGTGTTGCATTGAGATATATTGTGACACAATATATTGTTACACCCCTAGTACAAATACATTGCAGGAACTAACAACTCCAATTAATGTCCAAATCCAAAAACGTCACTCGATTTAACTTTTTACTAGAAGTAGGCTAAGAATAAATCACTATAAATTATTTAAGAAATTAATTATATATGTCATATACTAATTATAATATACTATTACATTTCTTATCCTTTCTACAAAACAAAACAGTTCAGTTTTTATGTCGTTGTCGTTATGGTACAACTTTACTCAGAAAGGGAAAGACACTCTGCAAGGCTACAGGCTGGGTTTTATCGAACTAAAGCTCTGGCGCTATTTTGTTGGTCAGTGAATCAGTCTAAACTATTTTATTTCTGATCTGTGGTGCCTCGTAATGAGGCAGATACCTTTTTCCGGTTATATTTGTCTCTTTTAGTTTGGGGCCAATAGGATGACATTGACTTGGAAACGGCCTCTGAAATGCCAGACATGGAGCCATTTTGGATTCGGATCAATGGAGTAATCTGGTGCCTTGGAGACTGTGAACTTCCTCTTGCCTGTAAGGGTCAAAGGGGAAGACAAACAGGCAAGCATTACTTTTTACAACCTACATTTATTTACCCTCTATAGCATATTAGATACACTTATGAGAGAGAACTTCCGTTGTGTGTAGACATCATCATTTCCAATTAAACTCAGTTCAAATTGAATGTCATTGTGGCAATGAGGAAGGAAAAGTGTTTTATTTTATTTTACGTATTGGCTACTAGTTGTGTATTGGTTAAATGTTTTATGTGTTACTTGGTGAGAACTGGTTGCTTTGTTTTAAAGGTAGGTCTACAAGACCTGATGCTGGATAGATGTATTGGTATTTCTTATCATTATAAAAGCAATAAGCAATAAAAGGTCATATTATATATTACACATAAACATGGTAAAAATAATAAATAATAATAACTACACTGTAAAAAAAATATTGATGGTTTAACTTCAAAAAGTAAGTAACCTGATTGCCTTAAAATTTTAAGTTCATTGAACTGGAAAAAGTGAGTTAATACAATGAAGGTGATTAATTGAACCATCAGAAACTCAAAATTATATGTTATCTGAACTAAATAAATTATTTAAGTTGATTTGACAAAAGAAAAAATGTTATGATTACTACACTGTAAAAAAATATTGTTGGTTTAACTTAAAAAAAAGTAAGTAACCTGGGTTGCCTTAAAATTTTAAGTTGATTGAAGTGGAAAAAGTGAGTTAATACAATGAAGTAGATTAATTTAACCATCAGAAACTCAAAATAATAAGTTATCTGAACTAAATAAATTATTATAAAGTTGATTTGACAAAAGAAGACATGTTGTGATAACAAATCTTTTTTACAGTGTATGTATTCCACCAATATAGAGCTTTAGACAAACAATGTAGCTTTGATAGCAACTTTATGCAAATAAAGGGGGAAAAAGAGTAATGATTCACAACTGAATTATATACATAGTTGACACGTACATTGTTCAATTTAAGAATTGTGTTTGTTCAGAAAAAAATTATTTGACAAGTTGGGACAACATTTGGAGGAATATTGTTAGCATGCATTTTTTTTTTTTTTTGCTGTTGAAGATTTAGAAGTAATTTACCATTTGTTTTTGTGTCTGTGCCTGAAACGTTAGTCAGCTTGCATTTGCTAAATAAAGTTGTTCTTAACAGTGTAGACGACTATCAGTTTTATAATCATGTTTTATTTATACAGATGTAATTTATTATATTATTAATTATTCAGATTATCATTTAAAAGGTGCTTTTTGACCAAAGAATCTTACAAACTGTGCACATGTTAAGCAACAGTCACCTCACGTATTTGTTTTAGAAGAAATACATCTGTAGAAACTGGCTTTAATTAAAAGATTGTGTATTTAATCACGTTACATGAAATGCTGATGATCATCTATTGCTCAGCTGTGTTTATAGAAACATTCTGTGGGTGGAGACTAAAAGGGCTTTGAGTTTTAGCTTCACCTCTTTTTCTCTCAGGGCTTTAATTGGGATGTTTGCAGGCTGACACTCAAATGCTGCGTGGGTGATTTGAGGCGAAGAGTATGATATCACCTTCCCACAAACACACACTAAGACACGGAGCAAGAGAGTGTGTAGAAGGCTGCAGGCGCTCCAATGGACAGTGAGTCTCATAAATCCAGCTGTGTGTGATTTGTGCTAAAGCATTGTTATGAAACTCGCTTCGTGGAAATAGAGGACAGTGTAGAAAAAAAAAAAGCGAGGGAAAAAAACGACACAGAAATCAAAGATATCCATCAAATTAACACATCAATGGCTTGATTGTAATCTCCCCGGCACTGCACCGCAAACACTTGCTCTGCCACCGACGGGCACAGAGCTGTGATTTATCAATGCAAAGCTAATAGCATCAATATGAATCTAACTAAAAATCAATATTTCATTACTAAATTGTTGGAGGGAATGAAGAGGGATGAGAGGGGTGGGATGGTTCTCTTGGGTGAGAGCATCTGGAGTTCACTGTGACACGATGAGTGATGCGTGAATCTAAGGGCGCTGGGAGAGGACACACGGAGGACAGCAGGCCCGGAGTTGTAACACAGCCACGGTTCTACGTCTCAGACTCTTATCCTGTGCTAATATATCCGTCATGTCTTTTTGTCATCTATGCCTCTTTTCCCCATGTTTTTCCCCTTTTTTTCCTGTATTGACCAACATGTAAAATAATGAAGTCATACTGTAATTTCTCATATAAATACAGTGTATATATATATATGCAGTGGTGGAATGTAACGAAGTACAAATACTTTGTTACTTAATTTACTTAAGTACATTTTTCATGTATCTTTACTTTACTTAAGTAGAATAAATAGTGCATACTTTTTACTTTTACTTCGTTACATTTTGCAGCAATTATTATACTTTCTACTCCACTACATTTCTACAACTTCTGTTACTTTTTCATTACATTTTCTGATCCGTTTTTCCCCTGCCAAAACGTAATCTGACCCCCGTTCGTTGCACGTTTGTCTCACCTGTGACGTTTGGTTGCCATAGATATATCAACCCGGTCACACTAAATGCGTCTCGCACGCAGTGTGTTTATTGTGCAATTTATACGCAAAAATTAGTTTTTATGTGCATAGGAAATGCACCGTTTGGTTAGGATTATGGCAAGCCAAGAGGTTCAGAATTACACATAAATTAATCGCGTTTACTGCCAAAGATAGTTATTAATATAGTAAGGATAAGCATGATGTGCATATTGCCTAATTGCAAGCTTGTTTCAGAAATGGTGACAACAATTTTTTTTTTCCATCATTATTGAACATCATTATAGGAGTATTAGGTGGAACGAGTTAGAATTAAATGTTTTATTAATCATTAGAAAAAAATAGACATTAAGAGAATAAATTGTTATGCAAGCACTTTTACTTTTAATACTTAAAGTACATTTAAAATCGGGTACTTTTTACTTAAGTATGGTTGTCATTGTGTTACTTCTACTTTTACTAAAGTAAATATGTATCTGTTTATTTGTAATTTTACTTAAGTACTGAGATTCAGTACTTCTTCCACCACTGTATATATGTCCAGCGTCCATACATCACTCATATGTTCATGTCTCGCCATAACTAGTGATGGCCGGTTCGTGAACGAATCGTTCTTTTGAACCGGTTCTATTTAGTGAACCGGTTGAACCAGTTCACTAAATCGAACTGAATCGTTCGAAACAGTTCGCGTCTTGCGTCAGCGCTGATCAACAAGTTACTAAAGTTACTCACTTTCAGACATGCCTGACAGTCCCTCCGAATCGAAATAAACCAATATCACGGAGTATATTTTACTCCAGTAACTCCAACAGTTAACTCTCAGTTAACTGAAATGAGACATGTTGTGCTGAGAGAAGTCATGAGCACAAGCAGCTGAAAGTTAGCATGCACATACTACCGAACGTACAGGTAAAGTGGTTCTCGGATCACCAGTACAGAACCGAGGACTGTTTATTTTGGACGTGTTCGACTTACCGAGAACCGATGAGTTGATGAAGTGAGCATGCGTGCGATTTTTTCAGAGGGAAGAAATGCATGTTTCTTAAGTATTCAGTAGTACACGCATCAATAAGTGTAACAAAATAAAACGTGTTGGAAACATATGTTTTTCACATAATTACTGTCTTTTCAATGTATTATTTTAAAGATTGGAAACACAATGAATGGATTTTAAAATTAAACTGTTATTATACTAAAACATTATTTTCAGGAACAGCTAATTTAATTTCTAATAAGTTGACATAAATCTTTGTCGTAAACTCTTGCCAAGGTTTTAAGGGTGCAAAGTAAATGTGTATAATGTGTTAATCAAAACACAATGTAAACATACTGTAGACAGACAGGCATCGACTTTTTAGTTTTGTCGACTGCTGGTAGTTTCAGCAGTTCTCAGCTCAGCACACAGGCTAGTTCTCGAGTCAAAAACTGGTTGTTAAGCAGTTCTCGAATCACAAGTACAGAACCGAGAACTGTTTCTTTCGGACATGTTCGATACAGAGAACCGATGAGCTGGAGATACTGAGCATGCATGATAGCACCGTCTCTGAACCGAACTTTCTTTTGGCCAACTGCATGCTGTGCTGATACATGAGCACGGGTGAAACGAGGACTTAAAGGAGAACTCCGGCGCAAAATGAACCTTTGGTCTAATTACACACTGCTACCTAGTCAACCGTTATCTGAGATTTGTTTTCATGATTGCCGAATGTAAATAGTTTTATCTCTAAAAACAGTTTAGCCTATAACGCTAGTATAATGCTAGTATATGGGGCATAGAGTAATGACAAATAAAAATCGCTTGTTATTACCACTAACAAGGCACAAAATAGCCCCACACTAACACAACAGCATAACAAGGGTCCCTACATTCAAACCGAAGCATTGAGAAGTTTGTCAGTGTCCATACAGTTTAATAAGCAGATATTTTATACACACAGTAAATTTCGCAAATACAGGAAGAAGCCATCTTTGAAAAATAGTCTCTACCAGTCGATCTACGAACGCCGATCCAAGTGTGCTGGTGAGATGTGAATAAGGTGATAAGGTGAGCGCGAACAGTAGGCTACGTGTATATATTGAAGACAAGTAAACGGTTCGTGTTTGTGTTTCTCCTGGAAACAACGGACCATATGAGATTCTGCACAGTTCAGCGCACTTGGATCGGTGTTCGTAGATCGACTGGTAGAGACTATTTTTCAAAGATGGCTTCTTCCTGCTTCTTCCTGTATAGTCTCTACCAGTCGATCTACGAACACCGATCCAAGTGCGCTGAACTGTGCAGAATCTCAAATGGTCCGTTGTTTCCAGAAGAAACACAAACACGAACCGTTTACTTGCGGTAAAAAAATATTAAACCTCACTGGTATGAAACATCTGGTTCTAGCAAATGTTATTTTAATATGTTTGGGTAGACACTGCCACACATCAACATGATTCAGCATGATTATATTTAAATTTTACTAAACTTTTACTAAACTTTTATTGTTCAACACACGGAGGAGGTTTGAGATGATATTCACTAATGATCGCACGTGTGAGATCGACAATCGACTACTGTGGCCTTCGATTGAAAACAGGAAGTAAATACAGGTATGTGAGCTGGCTGATTTAACATCATTTTTATTAATATCTTTCACATCTACTGCAGTCAGATTGACCGTGGTCACTCTTAATAACACCACTCACATGGCTGTGCACTTGTAATGACAAATCAAGGATGTTAAGATGCTAAAAGCAGGTTTAGAACTTCCCCCATTGAAGTCAACAGGGTGCGAATTTTAAAAAGACGATAACATGGTGTAGACATTAGACAACACCGATTTTTGACGTTTTTGTCTGTACTGACCTACGCTATCTCACGACCAATTCGTACGAATTTGACGCATGATTAAAAAGTGTCTAATTTGTATAATTTGATTGATTTGTATAAACCCACGTGATGGTTAGGTTTAGGGGCGGGGTAAGGGGTAGGTCATTCGTACGAATTCATAGGAATTGGCCAATTCGTAAAATATGTACGATTTAGCAAAATTGTACTAATTCGTACGAGTGAGGTCGTACGAATTAGTACGAATCAGACACTTTTTAATCATGCGGCGATTTCGTACGATTTGGTCGTGAGATCGGGTTGTACTGACAGCACTCCAAATGTACAAAAAAAAAAATGAGCTCAATGTTAAAATTGACCGGAGTTCTCCTTTAAAGGTTAATATTTAAGTTTCTGTCAGTACTTTGATATTCTTCATTTCAGTGTACAACAAACATGAAGATCACCTTGATTTCACACATCCTTTTTCTTCTCTTTTTCGTTGTTGCTCAACAGCATGTTGCTCAACCTCATTCTTTTTAGTTCGATATTAAAGCATTTTCAGCCAGAAAAGAAACACTGAAGAATCTTCTCTTTACCGTGTTTTGCTGCGTGCATTTTCTTGTCTGTACCTTTATAACGTGTCAATACAGAAAGATCTGAGACTGGAAGCCCGGCCTTAGAACTCCCCTTTCAATTCAACGCTAATGATCAGACGCTCCTATACACGCACGATTAGCCATAGCATATGAAACGGTAGGCAGAAGCCTCTTTGCCCCTCGTCTATGAACCATAGCAGCATCTATTTTGGCATTCCTCCACTCTTCAAACGCCAAACATTTAGACTATTTACCATTTAAATGATCGCCGTTTTTTATCTAGCAGCCTGTGAGAGTGCTTTCGACATGCACAGATTGACATGCCTATGTTTTTAATGCCTCGGGGCAAACCCTCTGGAGTTTAAAACCAACAGACTTTCTGCTAGTGCTGAGAAAACAGCATTTGATCTCTGAAGGAGCAGCAGCCACACTAATGATGATATGCAAGCGCTTGCTAACTTTTTCGCAGGGTGGAAGAAGAGAGAGAGAGAGTGGAATAAGAAGAAGAAGAAGAAGAAGAAAAAAAAAGCAAAGTATGACAACTCCCAAAGGTGAGATCTGTGCCAATGATTTGTTTGCTCTTCCTTGAGGGCTTCAAGAATTCGTTTATTTTTCCTGATATATTTCCATCCTATTAATTCATCTCTTTTTAAGGTCAAGTTTGCACTAATATCTCCAAAATAAATGTCCCAAAAGAGGGATGAATATTGCATTTAGAGAGCGCCGAGTTTTAAGAGACAGCAGAAGGAAGAGGCAGGGACATGATGTTGAGTTATCCCAGTCGAGATGTTAGCTAGCTAGAGCTGTGATCGGTATTGTATCACACGGGCTACACCAGAGACGAGCCAAACCCCATGCCGACTGCCGTAATTATTAGCTGCAAACGGACTCAGCTTGAGCACTATTAGAGCGGATTAACAAACGTTCCAGCCATAATTATCAAAGGTGCAAAAGCAGGTGTTTAGGAACTGAATTAACGGAGGAGGAACCGCGCCACTGCTGAGAGCACATAAGGAGAGAGCGAGACACATCAAGATGGAGAACAAGAAGAAAAAAAAACTGTAAATTTGTTCTGACTTTTTGTCTAATTTTCAGATTGCCGGGACTTGCTCTATTGTCGCCAGTTTTAACACGTGATTAAACAGCACATGGGATGAGGGGATCTGTTGGAAACAAATCATCAGGGGAACGCTTCCGTGTTTCACGGCAGATGTTTGTTCATAGGCGGACTGGAGAAGTGTGGCCTTTTCCCCAAGGACAGGCAGGGAGTGGTGAGGTTTTGGGTGTTAGAAAAAATAGAAAGAAAGCTGCTCTTACCGGTGTTCTGTAAACGGATTCACAATTTGCATTTATTATTCTCATTCCCTCTCTATCTTTCCATTTCGTCCCTGAGGAAATAACCAGAAAAACAGTTCTAATGACTACAATATGCAGGCGATTACACTTCCTTTTGTAAATTTACAAATCAAATTCCCATCATTGTCAGCAAGGGTGGGGTAACAGACAGTGGTTGAAGTGCAAAAAATTAGGTGTTGTTGCCCCTTGTTTGCATATATTCACATATGCACACTACCGTTCAAAAATTCAATTCATTACAATTTAAAATTACCATTTTCTATTTGAATATATTTCAGCACCATTACTCCAGTCTTCAGAGTCACATGATCATTCTAATGTGCTGACACTAACCCTACCCCCTAAACCTACCCATCACAGAAAACTTTCTGCATTTTTACACTTTCTAAAAACATAATTTGGTCTGATTTATAAGCGGTTTTCCTCATGGGGACCAAAACATTTCTGGTAGTCTGATTTTGAATATTGTCATCTTTGTGGGAACATCTTGTCCTCATAGCATAACCTCCCTCCCACACACGCACATATTGTTGGCTATACGACTCAGTACCTATCCTGATACAAGAGTCCCCAACCTAGATAGTCAACACTGTGTGCCCCAAAATAAGCAAAATATCATTATGTAAATATCTCACATTTTGATAACTAACTGGAAGAAAGATCAAAACTTATTAAGCCCCCAATAGTTCGATCTCAACATTTTTCAACCCCCACCCACCAATTTTAGGGCCAAATTCTGAAAATATTTATACTCTGAGTGAAGAGACTCAAACTTGACTTTCAATATAAGACAGCGTTGTAGTACTCGAGACTCGGACTCGTCTCGGACTCGGTCTCGAGACCATTTTTTAATGGTCTTGGTCTTGTGCATTTGGACTCGGAATTGACTCGTACCCTAACATTTTTTTTTTAGGACTCGGACTTATTCCCGAGTCCACTCGAGTTCAATTCAAAATATTTTTCATGATTATTAATGTATGTTAATAAAATATTTCTTTAAATTGATTGACACGCCCAGTGATTGGTGATTTTCTAGTGCACAACTGCGCATGACAAATTGTAATAAAATTACTTTTAACACCACCTACTATGTGGCCTTTTTACCCTAAACTGATCATATTTTTTAAACTCCAAGTAAATTCAGTAAATAAAAAAAAGGATTTCTCTAAGTAAATAAAAGTAAATTAGGTAATCAACCCTCACTGGTCTCGGTCTCGACTCGGACTCGACCGACTCTGGTCTCGGACTCGACTTGGAATCGACTCTATATGGACTCGGTCTTGACTCGGACTCGACTCTCTCTGGTCTCGAGTGAGGTGGTCTCGACTACAACACTGATATAAGATGTTTTATTTTTGGGGGGGCTTGGAAATAATGAATGTGTAATGAATCTGAAAAAAATAGTCAGTCCAGAAACATCCTTCTTTAACTCTTCCTCTGTGTCGTTGCTTCACTGAAACCTCTTAACTTGGAGCAAAGACAGAGCCGACAATTAATAAGAGCTGCCGGTTCACAAGACTCGTTCCCGAGTGCAATCAAATGCTAAAAATGACAATAGGCTGCGTAAATAATATAAAACAAATATGAAAACATACCTATAGTACTTTTAGAGAGCTAAACCAGGGACCTTGACCCCAGGGGCCATCAGGAACACCAGGTCAAAGGAGGCCTTCTGTGCTTAAAGTCCCCTCTCTGCCCTCCTTTGGCAGGTGAACAGACAAGGGCCTCACCCACAGACTGTAGGCTCTTTTACATTCACGCTAAGGGAACGGATGCCCTGATGGATGCCAGTTCACGCACCTTGCAATCATGGGCACACCTGCCTGGGCGTGAACACCAAAACGAGGGTCACCGCAGCGAGTCTGATGGGGGTAGGACCCTTGGCTTTACCAAGGCCACGGATCCCAATCTGCCGTATGTATGGACGGCTCTGTCAACAAATGGATCCCCTGTCTTCGCGCAAAAGGAGATGTCGGCTGCTGTCCTCTGTGACTTTAACTGACATGCAAGGAGCTAAAGGGCATAAAACACAGTAGACTGGTGCGGCACCCGCACAAGTATGTCCAAACGCCATAACACGCTGTTTCCAAACGGGTCCTGACCTCTAGCTCTGGGGCAAACAGGCTGGGTTGAAGTTATTCATGTCGAGTCTGTGTCTCCTACACCATCTTCACTTACACATAAGGAGCGGTGGCTTGTTTACCGCTGCCCTGGCCTCGCCTGCCAGGGACCGTTCTAATCACATTACCAATTTTACATTAGCAATTTTACCTCGTACGTCTCACATAATGGCTGACACGTATCGTAGATCTTGATTTGTCTGCAGGAAGCATTTAGAGTGAGGCTTAGTCTCCTTAGATCTAACCATGTGTACCAGGGCAACGTGATGTATTTTTGTATGTCAAACTGCGGTTTTTGAAAGTCACATGTTGATGTGCGTTGACTGACCCCCAGGGGCCACCGTGAGCTGACGTTTTATGTGCATTTGCACAGATTTAATGGCTTTATAAGCAATGACCAACTGCGAAAACAAACTTTTCAGATGAAGCTACAGATTTGGACCGCTGCCAACGAGAGGACAAACCGATCATTTTTCCTCTTCGGTGCCTTCCAACATCTCGTTCTTATTTTGGCATATCGCACGTCCTCCTCTGTGCGGAGTAGAGGAAAGGAAAGGAGAGGAGAGGAGGTGAGAGAACGAACACAGGAGAGAAACCGACAGAGAGAGGGAGCGTCTCGAAGCACAATCGATCTTTGTTGAACAAACTCCTAGCAGATGGCGCTGTGTGTTGGTGACACATTGCCACCCACACTGCTGACTGACTCACTGTTTGCCACGTTTGTGATAAATCACTAAGCTCGAACGATACTGTACCGTAAACATCATTCGGCTCGACACAAACAAGCTCCGATCTGAACCTTCATTCAGACTGTTTGATGCCTAAGTAAATACATATCAATCAAAATCATCTTTCCATACCTGAAAATCTTGTAGGTAGGCTTACATGTATTTGTCCCACAGATAGGGAAATCGCTTGAATTCATGGGCCAAAAATTACAATTGTGTGTGTTTAGTGGGTGGCCCTCGTCCTTTAAGAAATAAAAATAGAAACAATTGTTGACATTGAGTAAAGCTATAGAGCCATACACATATTTATAAATGGCATAGGGCAGATCTTTCGTTCTGAATTTAATGAGAAATGTTTGCGTTCATATTGAAATTACTCACCTTTTAGTGAGTAGTTTTCATCAAAACTTTTCTTTTACCAAATTACATTGCAGAGATGAATCTGAATTCTGAGAAGCATGAATCTGAATTCTGAGAAGCAGAAAGGCACAATTTCCTCATTCTTGTAAAGTATAAAGTGTTTCGTTATTAAAGATATGGACAGTCACAAATATGATCAAGTTTATATACGGTAGTATGTGAAAAACAAATGCACACAGATCACAGAGAACAGTTAAACTGATATATGCAAGATTAATGGGGTCCTTTTTCTTTGATGTAAACGATGAGAAGCAGAAAATCTCAGTTTAGTCTCCATCTGATTTCATTCTTATCTAGGAGGGGGAAAAAAAGTTAAATTAAAAACACTTCATTTGTAATTGTATTTCTTATGAGCAGTCACAAAGACCATAATGTCCAGGATGTATGTCAATATCAAAAAGAAATATCACCAAAATTATTTTAAAAATAAATAAGCGTAAGCTGTAAACTATACTAACCATGGCATGTTCCTGCAGTCCCAACTTTAATTTGTCCTTTTGTGTTAAACTTGATTTTAAAAAAAACGTTGTCACGACTATATGAAATACAGTACATGTTTAGGGAGGAGAATTTGGGCTGGAGCTGAATGAACAGACTATTCCACAGAGACAGGAAATCTTCAGCGGCTCTATCTCTGATGAGTATCAGCTATTAGCTGCTTTTGGCTGGATATTCTCTTGGGCTCAGCTTCTGCTGAGCGCTGGGCTGCACTGCTCTCTCCTTATCATGCCTGTCCACCTGTCACACTTGGCCCTTCTGTCCACTCCCTGCTGTGTTAACTATTAAACACACACTCACACACACATTACTCACTCATCTAATCAATCACTTGAGAACGCAAGCCTTTTGCATGTATGAAAAAACGCACACGGTGGCACACACAGTCTACCCACCTAACCATGTGCCCCCTTGAATTAGTGAGCCAAGTGGATCTTGAATGTGACTAGTCTAATAAGCGATATACAAGTACTATATATAATATTGAAATTCCATATAATGTACATGAAATAATAATAATAATAATATAGTCCTGTCACCTTACATAGATATAAGATTGTTTTAATTATTAAATGTTTAAATTATTAAACATTATTAAATAAAGTTCACATGACTTCATGGTGGAAATCTTTGTTTTAACCCTCAATCAGTCAGATTTAATTTTAAAACATTAACTTTTCAAATTTCAATAAATAAATGAATTCATTAACCCTTATGCTGCATTAGGGACATTTTTGGTCTTTTGCAGTTTAATTTCTTTGACCATTTTGGCTGTTTTAATGCAAATGGTATAACATTTGGCAAAATTGTGACTTTTTGGATACATGTAAAAAATGTGATCCCATTTTGCAAAATATGTATAACACACACTGTGTAGATCAAATAGTAACACTCAGCACCATAAAGACCAAAAATGGCCCATTGAAACCCATTAAAACGTTGTTTAAATCTGAGGCTGTCAGTAATACATGAAACATGATTTTTGCACAAACATCCTTTCATTTTGAAGCAAAAGCATTATATTTGCATTATATAGTGTATTCCACCAGATGACGTCACTACATATTTATTCCCTATGGGTGGAAATGCACCTTATTTTAGGCAATAGGCAAAGTTTAATAGGTGGCCATTTTTGGTCTCTAACGCGCTAAGTGGGATTTTTTGCAAAGTGGGACTGTGATAATCCAAATCTAAAGTTTTCTCTTTGCATTTAGTTTATTGAAAATAATTGAATTTTTGTGTTTTTTCCTCTTATACAAATCGATGGTTTCGCAAACAAAACTGGTAATTAAAGGGTTAAAATCCTGAAATTGAATACATTTTTGGTAGTTATGATGAGGACTGATGCTGGTTAAAAGATTTAACTTGGTAAAAGTGGAAAATAATAATAATATATAATATTTTAGGCAATGTTTAATATGTGGCCATTTTTGGTCCTTAATGCACTCAACGGTGTTAAAAATCTAATGCAGCACAAGGGTTAATTAACGTAAAAAAAAAAAGGGTACCACAATTATTTCTAGTACAATTCTCTGAACCAAGACTGTCACTGATGATCCCTCAAAAAAAAAAAGGTGCATGACGCCCAGCATAAAGGTCTTTGGCATCCTCAAGGAAGTAGAAAGAAAAAAAAAAAAAAAAACAGTCAAAGGCTTGTGCACATCCACTAATATGAATAATCACTCAAATGAATGCGTATAACACTTAAAAACTCAGTCCGACATTCACCAGCCAAAGGTCATCTCACAAAGGCCCAGTGGACACAGATTGTGTGCCAAGCTGACACGTTTATTCTTGCATTTCAAATGCTCTATCAAAAGGCAGAGCGAAGCAGGGAACCTCTAGACTCTTGCCTTGACAGAGTTAAAACTGCAGGTCGCCCTCATGCGATCGCAGAGACTAGAACTGCTGTGACAGGTTTTCTCCTCGCACTCTTTCTCTGTACTGTTCCATGAAAGCTCACGCGCTTTGACGCTAATGTTTTTCCGAAACCCTCCCTTAATGACGCTGAAATGAAGTCCTTCCCCTGAGGAGACACTGGCATTAGAGTCAAGCCAAGTCGCGATAGTGCCACCACCGCGGCACCGGTTTATTCGCGAGCGCTCGCTGCCGCTATTGACTCGGCGGATTAGCGCGCGGCACATGAGCCCCCCTCGGCCCCCACCGCCAGGATCCGCGAGAACAGAATGGGGTCAGAGGCGCGTTAGGACAGAACACACTTAGATGCACCAGATTAGATTATTTGAAGCCCTTTGCCGAGCTCTCGTCCTGACAACAAATATCCCCGGGCCCCTCGGAGATGGTCACTGGGCGACGTGGCAAAAACAATGTGTTGATTTTGATCTAGCGTGGAGCCGCTCCCTCTGTCCATAGCGGTTATGTAAATAATCGTGTCATTCGGGAGGTTAAAGCTAATTTCAGACCCTCCGTTTTAGATTATGTCAAAGAAAGAGGAGCAGAAAAACACGTCCGTGACCTTTCAGCTAAGGCTGTCTGTGTGGCTAATTTACAAGTGCTGTGTTAAAGTCCGGGGTCAGGCGTTTTAAATGGCTGGGCATTCTTTCCATTGCCGGTTTCATTAAAAAAAGCATTGTGGGCTTCGGGACTCGCAACTCTCCAGATCTGACCTCTACATCACGGAGGCATGCTCTGTTAAATTAGTCTGATGTGTTGCCCTGAGCGCATGTAGCATTTAGTCTATTGTCCACTTTCACCTCACAGCTCTCGCCTTTAACCCTTTGCATTTAATAACGTGTTTCTAATGGAAATCTACATCTCGGGAATGACGGACTGGGTTGCTGCGAAAGAGAGCAGCGTTTCGAATCCAGCGCCGGCCAAATGTGGGGTTTTGTCTTCCCTTTAATCTCCTCATCCATCCTTTCCCCCCCTTCTTTGTTGTTCTCATCAGAAAGCGAGATTTGCATTGCTCTTCGGTGTCCTATCCTATCTCTTTTGTTCTCGCTCTCTCTCCTGATTTGACTGGATTGTGGAAGAGAGATGATTGTGTAGCCTCAGGTAAGATTTTGTAGCTTTACATATCAAAGTCACTAAATATCTTTTTCTCTCACACACGGGCATGAAGGGAGGGGGCTTGTCGAGGGGGGAAAGTTCCAAGCCAAGTTTTTTTTTTTTTTTACGGGGGATTGTTTGCTTTAGCGTATGAGAAGAACAAATCCAGCGAAACAAAAGGGATTACGGAGCAGTGTCGCTGTTGTGTTATTTATCTATTCCGCTTCTTTTCTTTTTTTCCAGGGCGATGCTTCAATGTCAGGAGAATCAACGTGCAGGCGTTCGGTAAACACGGGAAACTAAACAAGGTGTTTGCAAATGGCAGAAAATGGGGCTGATCTCTCAACTCTTCCTCTTTTGTGCGCTGTCTTTCCTTCTAACTCCCGAGGAAAATACATAGCCGGCGTGATTTATCATTTATACATAATGTAATACTGCATGAGCTCCAACAGCTCAATCACTTACGTTATTTCAAGATTAAACTATTAAATACTCACATCTAATAAAATATCTATATTTGGGATTAATATTCCATATTGAGAATCAATCAACAAACAATGTTCTTTGAATGAATTTTTCAAGAGCCTTAGAGCTCAAGTGAAGAGTGAAAAGCAAGACGGATGTACAAATTTAAAAGAACGGATCTAAAAGAGTAACGTTTTAGATTCAAGTACTGAACACTAATGGTTTCTGTATCTATCTTCGACACAAAAATACACGCAACACTTCAAATGCTAAAAGCATTTCCTTTAAACAATTTTAGGCTGCTTTAATCCCAACTGCAGCTGTTTATTTTCAGACCCTGGGGACTTGTTTGTGATGTAAAGATTGTGAGGGCTACGAGACATAATGCTATTGATTTGCTTGCGAATCGTGTGGACAGCGACCATGCCGCAATCTGGGGCAACGTCAGAGCATGTGTGCGTACCACATCAGAGCTCTGCAGAGAGGACATGACAACGTTTTGATACGGTCATCATGTTCTCATGCCTGATGCTCTGTAATTCCTCTCTGACAGAGCCGAGACATAATAGGATCCATATGGGGCTGCTGGAGACCGCTAGATCAGTACCATAGATAGACGGGACCAGGAAAGGTCCATCAGCACGACTCCATCAAACCAGTATCAGCGTCATGCCCGCGGCCCACCCCCAGTCTATTCACTGACCGCCTGATGCATATTTCACACAAAAAAGCAAGCACTTTCTCAAACTGACAAGCTTTAATGTAATGGGCTGGAGTCAGTGTGCAAAAGTCTGACAGAAAACAAAGTTGTGCTTAAAAGAACCGGGCTGCTAAGGTGAAAAAAAAAAAAAAGTATGTGTTAAATTTGTATAAAAGTAGTAATTAAGAAATAATTTTCTACATATTTGAATGTACTTCAAAATATTATATTATTCTTCTTGCAAATAAATGTCTATATGCAATATAGTTATAATTAAATACATTATAGTTTATGAAATTAAAGAGTACGAATAGCATCAAAAGCGCATACACTGTTTTATATGTCACTTCTGATTGTGAAAAGTATAATAAAATATGCCAAAAAATAGTGATAGTTAGTGATATAATCTCTGGAACTATGGAGATTGTCTTTGTACCTTTACAAATTATAACATAGTTACCCTACAGAGAACAAGTGGTTTGAAGAAATTTATTATGGCTGGATTATATGATACTATATTGTGTCCTGATTTTACTGCTCCCAATCGGAGTCAGAGCCTCCCCGATCCCAAATTGTAAATATCAAATATGTTTGAAATTTACAATTTGGGATCAGGGAGGCTCAGACAATTTTGTCTGGACATTAGACGGAAAATCATAAATAGTACCATATAATCCAGACATATATACTTCAAACCGCTTGTTCTCTGTAATATAATCATATTATAGTTATTATGTTATGTATTATATCATACTATATTATATGAATTACATTATATTATTATTTTTAAAGGTACAAAGACAATCTATAGAGTTCCAGAGATCGTCTAGTGTGTCCCAAGCCTTAGACATACCCCTATATCATATTTCATGTGCTTTTGAAAACTATTAATACCATCTAATTTCATAATCTCTGTCTATATTAAAGTGGCAAAAACTCCAACTGCAAATGCATCTGTATCTGTGGCCCATAAAAAGTCACTTGGATGTGCTTCTCAGCCCTAACAAATTAGCCTGAGACTTACGATGGAGAAAAGCATGGTGAGAAAAAGAAGAAAGAGGGAACGTCTGGTTGCTGTCTTGTTCATGTCACTCCGAGAATGTCAGTGCTCGGCATGCTGGGATGTGTAGTCCCCTGGGCCTGCGCGGGGCGCGTGTAGCTTCTAATTGGACCTGTTAGGGTCAGCAATTAGTGTACAGCCATCAAAAACTGCACGACAGCTTCTCCTTTCATACTACTTCCAGTCCCTCAGTGAAGACTGAGACATATCCAGAAGGCCTAAAGAGAGAAAGAGTATATGAATCCAGAACAACACATGGAGTTTGGAAGAGTAGGACAGCTGCAGGCTTTTTTGTGTGTGTGTCTGTGATAGAGGGACAGAACTTAATGGGACGTGTTCGTTGCCCAAGGCTCAAAGAGTTGAATCCATCTGTTATTTTTTTTTGGATGCTTGAACCGACTGCAGCTCCGCTTACAAAGGCCACTTTGTAGAACTGTCTTGTTCTTGAACTACAGCCGCTGCAGCAACAATGTGCTCCCCTTGTTTAATACACAATGATTAATCTAGTAAACGAAGGTGTTTGGCCCAGCCATCAGGTGGCAGTCAGGAGCAGTTAGAGGCATTCTTGGGCCCCGGTTGCCATGGTAACCCTCAGACAGACGCTAGCAGTGCTGAGGAAGCAACGGCCTCGAGTCACCACATTATGGACTTAAAATCAGATGTACTGAGCTGTGCTACTGTTGCCATTACTGTGAGCTAGAAGTGTATTCTTTAAGCTTTATAGCTGCTATTTAAGCCAAGAAAAGCTCTAACTATATATATATATATATATATATATATACTTTTTGTCACTTAATAGGCCTGCACGACCTAGGTGAAATCATCTAAAAGAACATTTAGATGAAAGATTATAAGGACAAATGTGTTTCATTTTTTGTATAAATTTCACTGATAATTTTTAATTCCATTTTTACTGTTATTCACATTTTTAATTCAAATTTCAAATTTGTCATGTGGTGAGACAAACACTCCATGTAATTATGGAATGTAATAGTTAATATAAGGTCAAAAAAATGTATGATCCATAAGTTATGACAACATATGTTTTTACATTATTTTAACTCATCAAAATGAGTAAAGCTATTTTCATGCGAGTTATAAAAGATTCAACACATTTTTTAAGTCAGTTTAATGTACTTTAAGTAAAAAGTTCAACTTTAATAAAAATTTAAGAAGGCAACTTTTTTAAAAACAGTGTACAAGCATTGTTGTTGTTTTTTTTAATCTGATGTTTTCACTAAGGCCCCATATGCAAGATGAAATGCATTTTATAAATGTAATTATTTTTTAAATAAAAGTACTGTGTTCTGGCATTTTAGGATGTGACACTGCTTTGGGTAAGGCTGAGTGATCCCCACAAGACGTCCCAACACCCATCCAGACCTGACCCAAAGAAATTTTTGGAAAAAAATGTTGTCATGGTAATGGAAACAATTCTATTTTTTTTTCTCTTTTTCTGTCCCATTTTTTACCGCCCACAATCAATGCTTTGAACGCGCTGACTGATTTAGCTGTGCTCCACAGACAAATCAATATTTAGGGAGATGTGAACAGCGGGATCAGGCGAGGTTTCGATAATTAAAAGCAAAGCTGACGACGCCATATGAACCTCATGTGAACGAAATGGAAGTCATTTATCACCTTGATAGTCCTTTTGTGATGGATTATTGCAAAGACTTCATGAAGGACTCAGGCCATCTGACAGAGTAGCCGGTTCAAACAGACTGCACTGGGACAAGAATCACTCTTTCATCACGTATTTTCTTCATCCTGGTGAAAAGACGACACAAAAATAACTTTCAGTTAGGACCCTCAACTTGACGACAGTCCTCAGCTACTCCTCATTTTGGACATTTCGCAAAACTGTTGCACATGTTTTTTAAACAAAAGCTGAAATAACTTGTCACACACCCCCTCACTCCTACACTCCCAGCATGCAATGCAAAGGACTACCTGACCTCCTGCCATTGCCTGGGAGCCGAGTCACCCACACAGCTGGTGTGTGTATGTGTGCGCGTTTGCGTGCGCAAAATACTGGCAATGGCCCAGGATAAAGTTATCTGATACTGTACTGCCCCCACATCCATGAACAACAGTGAAGAACAAGAGAGAGGAGAGATGTGGCAGGCCTCCTCCGCAGGGAAAGAGAGAAAAAGAGACTTGAGAGCGACACAGATGGAGACAGAGTGAGCTCTGTCAACAGTTTGAGTGCTGAGACTGTGGAAATGCAATAAATGTGTGAAGAGGATACAAAAGTTTTTGAATTGAAACGCATATGTATTGTTATGCTTGACTCCTGATGTACTGGCTCTCAAATGGCAAACAAGTACTGTGTACACACTTAGACCACCCACACATACTTCAGGGGGGAAAAAAAATTAAAATAGTTTAAGTTTTACTGCTTGTGTCCACAGTTTTAAAAGGATAGCTTACACAAAAAAAAGAAAATACTGCCATTATCTACCCAACTTCATATCATTCCAAATATGTATGAAGTGTGAGGAACAGACTGAAATAAAAGGTGTAAACGTCTCTTTAAACTCATTTGCACTTCTGAATATTTAAATATAACTTTTTTTATCCTCCTTTTATACTCCTTCACAAGATATATATATATATATATATATATATATATACACACACACACTCTTCTAAAGGATTATTAGGAAAACCATACTAATACTGTGTTTGACCCTCTTTTGCCTTCAGAACTGCCTTAATTCTACATGGCATTGATGTATGTTGGCCCATATTGATAGGATGGCATCTTGCAGTTTCATGGAGATTTGTGGGATGCACATCCAGGGCACGAAGCTCCCGTTCCATCACATCCCAAAGATGCTCTATTGGGTTGAGATGTGGTGACTGGGGTCCATTTTAGTACAATGAACTCATTGTCATGTTCAAGAAACCAATTCGAAATGATTCGAGCTTTGTGACACGGTGCATTATCCTGCTGGAAGTAGCCATCCGAGGATAGGTACATGGTGGCCATAAAGGGATGGACATGGTCAGAAACAATGCTCAGGTAGGCTTTGGCATTTAAACGATGCCCGATTGGCACTAAGAGGCCTAAAGTGTGCCAAAAAAACATCCCCCACACCATTACACCACCACTACCAGCCTGCACAGAGGTAACAAGGCATGATGGATCCATGTTCTCATTCTGTTTACGCCAAATTCTGACTCTACCATGAATGTCTCAACACAAAACGAGACTCATCAGACCAGGCAACATTTTTCCAGTCTTCAACTGTCCAATTTTGGTGAGCTCTTGCAAATTGTAGCTTCTTTTTCCTATTTGTAGTGTAGATGAGTGATACCCGGTGGGGTCTTCTGCTGTTGTAGACCATCCGCCTCAAGGTTGTGCATGTTGTGGCTTCACAAATGCTTTGTGCATACTTCGGTTGTAACGAGTGGTTATTTCAGTCAAAGCTGCTCTTCTATCCGCTTGAATCAGTCGGCCCATTTTCCTCTGACCTTTAACATCAACAAGGCATTTTCGCCCACAGGACTGCCGCATACTGTTTTTTTACCTTTTCATCCCATTCTTTGTAAACCCTAGAAATAGTTGCGCATGAAAATTCCAGTAACTGAGCAGATTGTGAAATACTCAGAATGGCCCGTCTGCATGGCACCAACAACCATCCCACACATTTAAAATTGCTTAAATCACCTTTCTTTCCCATTCTGACATTCAGTTTGGAGTTCAAGAGATTGTCTTGACCACGACCAAATGCATTGAAGCAACTGCCATGTGATTGGTTGATTAGATAATTGCATTAATAAGAAATTGGCAGGTGTTCCTAATAATCCTTTAGGTGAGTGCATATAACCTTTTGAGATATATTTATACATCTACACTATTGTTCAAAAGCTTGGGGTCAGTTATATATTTTTGAAAGCTTTACTTTACTTATTGCACTTGTTACAATACAATGCATATTGTTTTAAAGCAGCTTTACAGTGATAACAGGAAATTAATGCAACAAAAATTGTTTTGGCTGTACAGAAGCTCTAGAAGTAAATCATTGTCCAGTTTAAATAAGTTCAATGTTGATTCCATTGTAAAAATCATTAGATATTAATTTAGTTCATTTAGTTCATAAAGCAGCTCTGGAGAAAACAGTGATGTCATTGTCCAGCTCAGTTCAGTCTCATTTAATGGTGTCAAATCAGGCAGATCAATAATACTGTTGAATATTTAGTGTCCCCAACTTTCAAGCCAGAATGTGTCAAATGCTCAGAAAGGCAGCATTTATTTATCCGAAATAAGAATAATAAATGTAATGTATTCCTGTGGTGGCAATGCTGACTTTCCAGCAGTCATTACACCAGTTTTTAGTGTCACATGATCATTCAAAAATTATTCTAATATGCTGATGAATGGTGCTCAAGAAATATTCCTTATTATTATCAATGTTAAAAACAGTTATACTGCATAATACCTTTGTGGAAACCATGATACAACATTTTTTAGGATTATCTGAAATTGAAAACTGTTTTTTTTATTCTTTCGTAACATTTTAATTGTCCTTACTTTTTTACTTTTAATCAATTTAATGCAACCTTCCTTGCTGAATAAAAGTATTAATTTCTTCCAATAAAACAATATTCCTGACCCCAAACTTTTGAACATATATATATATATATATATATAAATACACATAAAACGTATTTATATAAACCGTATATATATATATATATATATATACGGTTTATATAAATACATTTTATGTGGGTGTAAAAATATTATTTAAATGAGATGCAGCAATTAAAAAAAGAAAATTGTTTCCCACACAATGCTATCGATTACCAAGACATATGGACTTCTTTTATGATATCTGCTTTTATCTTTTTGGAGCTTAAAAGACTGTAGTCACCATTCGCTGCAAAGTATAGAAAAGAGCAGCACAAACTTTCCGCTAAACATCTTCTTTTGTGTTCTTTTAAAGAAAGAAAGTCATTTTAATAATGCAAAGTAGTGTAGGCCACTTGGTATACAATACAAGACCTTTAAAACGAACTTCAACAAACCATTGCATGTTTTTCGTCAAGCTAATATGATCAGCTGAACTGCACATATCCTGCTGAGAGATGACACAGAGATTTTTCTTTTCAGCAAACTCACAGGTGTAAGCCACTTTTCTGAGGTAGCGTTCTGTCTCTTTTTCCGTCTGTAAGGCGGCAAGTGCTTTTAAGTAGAGTAAGCAGACTTTGGCAGAATTTGGCTGAATAGTGTTATTGTTCTCAAACTCAGGTGAAGGTGTGTAGTTCACTTCAAATGCTGGCTCTATAACTGCAGAGTTACTCTTATTATTTAGCACTACTGAAATTCAAGCCCGTTCTCATGCCAAAGCGCCATATAGGACGCTTTTGCAAAAGCGTAAATATCCAACGCACATGGCACCCTTTAACGTCAAATGAGATGCAGATATATTTGGGCAGAAGGCGCCCCCTAGCGGTCTAACCCTTACCCTACACCATACCTAAACTTAACCATAACCGAAGCGTGTCATTAGACGTTAAAGGGTGCCATGTGCGTTGGATATTTACGCTTTTGCAAAAGCGTTGTATATGGCGCTTTGGGATGAGAATGCGTTGGAAATTCCAACACTAGCATATTGTTATTTTTTTAATAAAACAAAAATCTATTAAAAACTGTTTTCGCTAATTGAGAAAAAAAAAATAATAATTATGTAACAAAAAAAAAAAAACTTTAGCCGAAATAAAGTTTTAGTTGAAGTAACTAAATTACTGAAAACTGGAAAATAAAATAAAACTAAAAAGAAATACAAAATGAAATATATAAAAATGACAAAAGTGTGTAACAAAATTAATAAAACCAACTAAAATTAAAATGCCACATTTTTACAAGATCATTTAAAATATTAATAAATACTATTATAGCACATATATAATAAAATACTAATATAGCACTCTTACCAGAGCATGTATAAGGTAAAATGTATGCTTTAAATACAATATAAGTAGCTATATATATGTATATCAAAATTTGCAGAGTGCATATTTTGACTACGAGCATACAACATCCTTATTGTTGTCATATGCTTTCACTGAAATATTTTATAGGCCTAGTTTTAGTCAACAAATCATGACACATCAGGCAAACTTCGCTGCGGCCACCCACTGTAAACAGTCTAGAACCGCGGCTGATCGCGCCTGGTTAGGACACAGTGTTACAGTAGAGTTGCAGTAGTCAGTACATATAATCACCTGGAGAAATAGACGAGAAGACAAGAGGAAGAAGTCTGAGACAACTGCATCCACCGCCAACTTTGTGTATATGTGTTTGTGTGAGAGTGTGTGGAAGAGACAGAGAGTTTAATTGTCCCCTGCTTGTCCTAATTTGACACACGCTGGCATGTGTGGGTGAGTCGTGTGTGTGTGTGTGCGAAACAAGTTACCGTTCACTCCTCACTTCCCCGCAGTCTTCCCATAAGCCCCTGTGTACGAGCGCTGACTGACACACCTTACAGGCCTAATGGAGGGCTGGCAGAAGAAGATGGCAGCTCTCAGAGACTGCCAGGGGGATCTGCCGCAGGCAAACACAGCTTCATACACCACCCTCTGAGGAAGCAGGAGATATAGAAATAAAAATATCAGCTTTACCGCTCCACGTAAACAGTCAAACAGGCAGACACACACTTTCCCGGTTTCCTTCGCACACACACAAACGCTCACGGTAGCGCTGTTGAAGTCTGTAGCATCTAAAAACAATATGTAGAGAGTTTTTTACACTTCCACTAAAGAAAAGGCAGCAAAAAATGTCAATGTTATTAAAGGATTAGTTCACTTTTGAAAAAACTTTTGCTGATAATTTACTCACCCCCATGTCATCCAAGATGTCCATGTCTTTCTTTCCTCAGTCGAAAAGAAATTTAGGTTTTTGATGAAAACATTCCAGGATTTTTCTCCATATAATGGACTTCAATGGGAACCGGATGGTTCAAGGTCCAAAAGACAGTTAATAACAGTTTCAGATGCAGCTTCAAATGTCATTGAACGATATCAGACGATGAATAAGGGTCTTATCATGCGAAACGATCGGTTATTTCAAAACTTATTCCAAAAATGTAACTTTTCTAAGGACAAATGCTAGCCTTGCTCTATTCTGTGAGGCGCGTTTGCAACGTCACGTATTACGTAATTACGTTCAAAAGGTCACGGGCGACGTAGCCGAAAGTACAGAGTCAGTGTTTACAAGTTGAACGCATAGGTTGAACGTGCAAACTAGCCCAAACACAGTTTTAAAAAAAAAGGAATTAAAAGGAAAAACAACGATGTCGGACGATTTTGATTCTGTACTTCCGGCTACGTCGCCCGTGACCTTTTGAACGTAATTACGTATTACGTGACGTTGGCGTTGCAAACGCGCCTCAGAGAATATAGCAAGGCTAGCATTTGTCCTTAGAAAAGTTACATTTTTGGAATAAGTTTTGAAATAACCGATCGTTTCGCATGATAAGACCCTTATTCATCGTCTGGTGTCGTTTAAAGACATTTGAAGCTGCATCTGAAACTGTTATTAACACTATTTTTTGGACCTTGAACCATCCGGTTCCCATTGAAGTCCATTATATGGAGAAAAATCCTGGAATGTTTTCATCAAAAACCTAAATTTCTTTTCGACTGAGGAAAGAAAGACATGGACATCTTGGATGACATGGGGGTGAGTAAATTATCAGCAAAAGTTTTTTCAAAAGTGAACTAATCCTTTAATGTGTCACCCATTATTGATTTTAGCTACGGTACATATACACATTAATTGATCAACAGTTTGATCAATTTTTATTGGAGAAATAAAGATAAATGCAGACACGTGAAAACACGGACACAAACAGCTAGGCTAACCAGGGAGGAATTGTCTGCATTTATAAGGTGATATGTCTGATTGCAAATCAATCGTAAAAAAACGTTGGCATGCTCATTTTTACGGTCGGTGCGGATTATGCCCAGCAAGGGTTCGGTTTAATTGTAGCAGAGTCAGGTATATTAAAGAATAATAGGATGAAAGAGGGATCGGTGTGTTTAAGATTTGCCGACACCTCAAGACAATCATGCACTAACTACACATCTCCTTTCTCCCCCGTTCCCTCAAAGTATTGATCGGCCTGTCTGTTCTTAATGGTCCTGTTAAACACAGTCACCAGCCACTTTAGTGTGCCTAGGTCCACTTAGCAATAAAGCTCTCGGAGCTCTCTTTAAAACCACCGCTGAGACAGGACGGAGGCTCAGGGTCACTTGGATGAAGAAGCTCTGACTTTATCCCACACATGGTTTGAACGGAAACAAGGACAGTTGTGGAAAGTTACTCGTGTGAGATTTTCTCTGCATATCCGGTTCGTGTGTTAGGTGGATTATGCGGTTTTTGAGTTATGAATTGAGGTTCTGTGAAATTGTGCCTGGATTTTGTGTTCTCGAAGGCATTCCCTCACATTTTAGCGTGCATACACACACACAAATCAAACAAAGCTGCTTCTGACTGACATACTGATCAGGTTGCATCTAAACTCTCCCTCTTTCTCCTCTGATCTCTTGCTTTTTCTCTCTCTCTCTGTGTCCTTAAAGGGTTAGTTCACCCAAAAATGAAAATTAAGTCATTAATTACTCACCCCCATGCTGTACCAACCCCGTAAGACCTTCGTTCGTCTTCGGAACACAAATGAAGATATTTTTGATTAAATTTGAGAGCTGTATAACTACCACATTGGCTGCCTAAGGGACTGCCTCTTTACAGCCCAGAAAGTCAATGAAGAAAATGTTTAAATATCCCAAGTGACTACCGTGGCTCAACTATATGTTTATCAAGCGACGAGAATACTTTTTGTGCGAAAAAACAAACAAAAATAACGACTTTATTCGACTATTCCTTTTCTTCCTTGTTGGCCTGAAACGAGACTTCCTTAGATTTCCACGACGCATGCGCGAGAACTGAACTGAGGTAGTTGAAGGAGATCGCAATTCTCGCGCATGCGTCGTGGACATCTAAGGAAGTCTCGTTTCAGGCCAACAAGGAAGAAAAGGAATAGTCGAATAAAGTCGTTATTTTTGTTTGTTTTTTCGCACAAAAAGTATTCTCGTCGCTTGATAAACATATAGTTGAGCCACGGTAGTCACTTGGGATATTTAAACATTTTCTTCATTGACTTTCTGGGCTGTAAAGAGGCAGTCCCTTAGGCAGCCAATGTGGTAGTTATACAGCTCTCAAATTTAATCAAAAATATCTTCATTTGTGTTCCGAAGACGAACGAAGGTCTTACGGGGTTGGTACAGCATGGGGGTGAGTAATTAATGACTTAATTTTCATTTTTGGGTGAACTAACCCTTTAAGTAAATTCCCTTGAATTCTGAGGACAGAGGTGTTGGTTCAAGCAATTCAATGCCGAATCGTTGAAACACAACAGATCAACAAAATCACACTCTTTCTCTCACAATCTCTCACTAGTTTTTTAAAATGTAGTGCATAAAATGTAGTGAATCTCATAGACTCCAAACATATGGAAAGAAAATAACAGCAAATGATATCCATAGAAAAGACAATTTAGAAATATAATTTTTTTTTTAGAGTGCAAAGTGCCAATTCATAAAAGCACAAATTCGCCATTTACAGCTCAGAGTAAATTATTTACATGAACCATGTGTGGGCTTTTATTCATGTCATACCAATATATACACTACCATTTAGGATTGATAAGACTGTTTTAATGGTTTTCAAAGAAGTATTTTATGCTTAACAAGACCCATTTTCTATTTGAATATACAGTATTCGTGTGATGGTAGAGCTGAATTTTCAGCATCATTACGCAAGTCTTGAGTGTCACATAACCCTTCTGAAATCATGCCGATTTGAAGTCAAGAAACATTTCTTTTAACACTGTTGAAAACAGTTGTGCTGTTTAATAATTTTGTGGAAACCATGATCGATGTTTATCAGGATTAGTTTATGAATACAGTTTTTAAAAGAACAGCAATTATTTGAAATATAAATCCTTTCTAACATTATAAATGTCTTTATGTCACTTTTGATCAATTTAATGCATCCTTGCTTGCTAAATAAAAGTATACATTTCTTCTCCCCCCCAAAAAATCACCCCCAGACATTTGAATAGTAGTGAACATATATTAAAAATGGACTTAAGAGAGGAGAAACATATGAAACAAAGTAAAAGGTTAAAGGAAACATAACTGAGAACGCCATTACATCTCCTCAGCCATGAAAGAGCAAAACAATTTTCCTCTGGGAATGACCGAATATTGTTTAACGTCTTTCCGAAAGGTTTCACATCGGTTTGTTGCTTTGCAAATAATCAGACAAGTCATATGAATGTAGTCTGTAGGGCAAACGACATCATAGCCCATTTCAGAAAGCGGATCTTGACCATGCCCCGGAGGACTGAAAGACCGGCCAATCAAGAACGGCACAAAACTCACATAACAGCTGTACATACAAAAAGACAAGATAATTCCACTGCAAAAGCGAGCATGTTTCTAAAGATCTCTTTCTCCAGAGCCAAATCTCCTCATCTGGCAGGATGGTAGCTCAGTACTCTTCAATTACACTTTATCTCAGTACTGCACTTTAAAGAGGGAGAAAATCAGAGAGCGAGACAGAGAAAGAGAGCGTGACTGCAAGTTGCGCAAAGAAGGGGAAATCGGGAGAAAGAAAAAGAGAGAACATGTTCTGAAGCAAACAACTGTGTTTGCAGTACATTTAGAACAATGCTCTGTTGGGACACTGAGTCGTTAGTAAACGGAGTTGCCTTTTATTAGTTGAATGATATAAAACATGACAAAACAGCAACTCAGAGAGGATCTGCGATTCATACACTCCCACTGGGATTTCTATATAGGCCATGAGCTCTCCTCTCTCCCATTTAGAGTAGAGAGAAAGACAACGAGAGAGAGATCCAAGAACAAACGAAGTGCAAGAGGATAGAGGGACCATGAACGAGAGAGCACAAATGAACAAGAGCACACAAAAAAACACATGATACACAGAGAGAAGAGAGGTAATCTACAGTAAAAAAAAAAAAATGTTTTCAGGCATTGGTGTACAATTAAAATACCAAACTACTGTATCTGCTTTTAAATATACTAATACCCATATTAAATATGCCGGTGATACAATAAAAGGTAGCATTATGAATTAAAGTTGGCCTTTCCTAATATACATTTGGATAGCATTGTTTAAAATCCATGATCTAGCCTAAATGAAGAGTTCAGATGCAAAAGCCTCTAAATGCCATTTGAAATTTTCTTCTTTAATGATGATTTTTATCAAACTTGTATATTTAAGTTCAGTAATTTCACTTAAATAACAATTAATAGGTAATTATCATTGCCATTTAAGTGAAATTACTGAACTTAAATATACAAGTTTGATAAAAATCATCACTAAAGAAGAAACTTTCAAATGGCATTTAGAGGCTTTTGCATCTGAACTCTTCAAATGTAAAATGAAACATAATCCAATTCGAAAGTTTAAGCTAAGATTATTTTTTGTAAGAAATTTTTTTAATTCAGCAAAGGTCTTTTAAATTGGTCAAAAGTGACAGTAAAGACTTTTACAGTGTTACAAAATATTTATATTTCTAATAAATACTGTTTCTTTCTATTCATCATCAAGTTTCCACGAGAATATGTGTTCAACTGATTATAATAAATGTTTCTTGAGCACCAAATCAGCACATTAGAATGATTTCTGGAGGATCATGTGATGCTGAAAATTCAGCTTTGCATCACAGGAATGAAACACTAACATAGAATACACAATATGCCTATTTTTACTGTATTTTTTAAATAAATAAATACTTCTTTGGTAAGCATGAGATACTTTTTTCAAAAACATTAAAAAATCGTACCGACTCCAAACTTACAAGCGGTACTGTAAATGTACCCCAATGTACATTTCTGATAGCTAAAGTAAGAAACATAACCAAGAAAAGTCTTATGCAACACATTTAATTTGGTGCCTACCAATTAACAAGTTCACATATGTATTCACTCATGTATTCTCTCATTAAGTATAAAATAGATTTACCGTTTACCAACAAACAGGTTTTAAAATTAAGCACATTTACATTATCTTTCCAATAAATTACTAAAAATGTGTTACAGTGATAAATGAAGCAGAGTACATATATAGTAAAATATATTCATAGTAGCAAGAGAGAGAAAACCAAGAGAGACTAGTCTATGTGGAATAGATAAAACGAGACAGAGACAGAGAGAGAAAGTAAATGAATGTTAGTAAAACTCTCCGGTGTGTATTAATAGTAAGACCGGAGTCCCATGAGCACAGGTTTCAAGCGAGAACGCTGAGGCAATATAGGATTCAGGGCAGACTGTAAAGTAATGCAATCCCATAATAAGTCCAGTGAGGCGCTATCCTGCATGTGTGCCTCATGAAAACAAACAGCTGCTCATCTTATGGGAAACAGTCCAAGCTAATAGATTACCGTCAAAATGTTATAATTATGTAAATTATTTTAATGTTTTAATTTTGTACAATTAATTATATAAACATTATTTGATTCAATCCCCCTCAGATACAGACAACATATAACATGCAACACACCTTTCCAAACCTGACACAAAGACATCACCTTTTACCTTGGTGAGTCTTAGGGTAGAAACAATATATTGACTTTTAACACTTTTTTTTTTAACTCATCTGCCACAAAAATGTAACATCTCAGCGAATATTGACATGAGATGGCTCTCATCACCCTGTATGGGTACATTTTGTAATAATAACCGACTGACCGTACATTATGCCTTACATAAACTGAACTTTCATTATATTAAATTACTATTGAAGCTTCAAATGACAACACGGCAAAACAAAAATCTATGAAACGGCTTTGTCCAAATGATGCTTCCTGATAAAGGCTTTCAATACATGAAACTTGAATGTATAGGCACCACAGGGCAGTGATTTGATGGTCACACAAGAGTGCAGACAATCAGACTATCCCTGATATTGACAGATCTCGCAATATCTGACTAAGTCACAGCAGAATATATACGATATTGTGTCCTAGTTCGACTGTCCGTAATGATTGTGTTTAAAGCTGACAACAATAAAAACATGAGCAAGATGTTTACTGACAATTTCTGAAATGAACAGTGTCACTTTAAGTATTAATTAAAGCAAGGCAGTGACTGTGTGTGTGTGTGTGTGCTATTGTTCCCAGCAGTATGACGGGATCAATAAGCTCTGGATAATGATGTTGTCAGTAAATGATCAGACCGTCTCCAGGGCACACACAGCAAACACCATTAGTGACAACGACTGCAAACTACATATTCTTTTATGTATGTGCACGTGTGTGATATATTGAACATCATTACACTGGTGTAAATTATATAATGTAGCAGAGTATTTTAGCAGATTACTTTAGTAAAATTTGTGTCCTTAATATTTAAAAATTCTAGTAAAAGTTTTATAAAAGCAATACGACACGTGGCTGTGCATTATTGTAAATATATATTTAATGGCTGAATGTGTTGCAGGCCATTTGCACACCCTCTTGAATCTTATTGCTTAAAAGGTGTAGCAGCAAGCACACAAGTACAACTTTAGATAAGAAAACATCTTCTTAATGACAACTAACTAGCTATCTGAATATGGTATTTAGGAATTCAAAACAATCCACTGGCACTACAAACTTCCCAATAAATAAACAAACACATGTTTTACAATACAATGTACTGCGAGTATGTACATATGTATGTGTCGCCTTCATCCTTCTCTTCTGGACCGTGCAGTAATGTAGATATATACGTACTGTATGTCCCCGGTGCAGTGATGTATGCGTGTCTGCTGACAGTAGATTTCTGTGGTAGTAATAAAGGTAGCCTGATTCGCAGAATAATTACCGTATGCAAATGCCGCTGATTTCAGTGCCAGTCTTTTATAGATGGCTGAGTTGAGCTGTTCATCAGAGAGAGAGAGAGAAAGAGAGAGTGTGTGAGAGAGAGAGGGGTGGCTTGTCAAGGGAGGTGGCATTATTTACTTTTTTAACCATTTAGGATGACTAGACACAGAACAGCATTAACAGTTTAATACAATGTGAATTACTATACTTCAAGAAAGATTTAGAGCAAACATTCTTAATCAGTCAGGTATAAGACTTTCTTTTAAAGTTAATTTTCCATTTTTATCTTTCCTTTAACAAAATAATACTATACAACAAAACTATAGTCATATTCATATTTATTATTATTTCTAATATCATTATTTCGGGTTACACTTTTGTAGTTTTAGGTGTTTATGACATTTATAAATAATAATAACTAGTCATATTATTTATGTATTTTTTTATTCATTATGAATCTACTTAATATTACTTTAATATTAACTTACATTAGTTGCAGTTTTTAGTTATTTATAGTTTGATTTTATGAATAACAACTAAATAAAGATTATTCTTAATAATATTTGATAAGTTAAGATTACACTACAGTTGTTAATACTGATTATGAACAATAACATTTATTAAACAATTATTTATGGTTCCACTATATTTGTATTTTAGCTGTTTTTAACTTTGAATAATAATAGCATTATCATTTCTTATTTATAGTTATTAGTTTTAGTTGTTTATACTGATTATTAATAATACAGAGTAATAATAATAATCATCATGATAATAATATATTAATTATATAACAGACCTTGACAATGTCTTAGTTATGATTATATCCAATATGCTCAGTTGCATAATGGTACTTTCTCAGACTTACCAATCCCCCCCACTCTGCGGTGCAGTTTGGTTTGATCCGGTCCCGTAGAGTGGTAAACGGCATGAGGGCTGTTTCAATCCTCATCACTGAGCTGTTAATTAAAACTCCCTGATATACTGACCAGCGCTCCATGCCTCCCTCCTGACGGGAGCCCTCCTCCCCCTCTCCATGAATTTGGAAGATCATTTTGATTCTTTTGTCCTATTCAAGAACACAAAGTGCCAAATGTGAATACCATAGAATTGCTAATGCAAAAACGAGGAAATCTCTTTTCACTCTAATGTTTATTATCTTTTATTATTTAGGCCTTTACGCGTGGATTTATCCAGACAGGACAGGCTGCTGTGAGAACACCGCAGCCCTTGGGCTCGAGCACTACGACTGGAACACCCCTCTGAAATCTCTCTCATTTTCAAAGTCTCTTTTTGTCTCATACTCTCTGGAACTCTCCGTTATTGCAAGCGTTGCCAAAGGTTGCGTGACAGATGCCAATGTCGCCCACCGTGACAAACATGTCACACTCTGAATGCTTTTTCCTGTCCCCTGATAGAGCAGCTCTCACCTCTCAGAGAGGCAAAATGCACAAACTCAATCACGCATCACGTTCTTCCCCTTCCCTCATCAGTCTCTCCTCCTTTCTGTCTATATCTCCTCATCTTTTTATTTGTTACCTCTTCTATTTCTCTTCTTTAACTGCCCTCTAGACATGCTCCTGCTCAGATGAGGAAGATTTCTCATGAGGGACCTTATTAAAAAAGGCCTAGGTCTCTTCTGCTGAGAGGTTCAAGCGCAGCTAGCCAAGCATGCAAAGCCAATAGAGAAAAACACAAAATGCCAAACAACACTTTGCAAATGATAGTCGGCAGTAATAAAATGAAGAGCACAAAGAAAATAGAGAGATGCCGTGAGAGATTTCTTTTCCATGCCTGTTTGTAATTAATATTTGAATCTGTTCATATATAACATTTTTTTCCCTATAATTTAAAAGAAGAGACCAAACCATTTAAAATAGTCATAATTTACTCACCCTCATGTTGTTCCAAAACACAAAAGGGGATTTCCTGAAGAGTCAGCTGTAGCTTCATGCACATTCACATTTTTAACATTCAATTTTGAATGGCTAAAAATGAAGTAGCATGATTATTGCAGGTAAAAGCTATTTGTCTAAAACAGTATGGCAGAAATCAGATACCTTTTAAGTATTTGTGTCCTAATGAGCAAGAAAGTGAATTGGCGCGTGAGTCACAGTACCTACAAATGATCATAAAGGTCATGAAACATGAGTCTTACCTACTGTCCAACAGTATAGGGGCGAAAAAAAAAGAGAAGAACAGCGAGAAAAAGAAAGATAGAGATTAAGGAACAGCGGCACAGATAGAGAAAGGAGACAACGATGGAGGAGTAGCGGAAGTTTGCTCTTGTGTCTGCTCTTGAAGAGGATGTGTCGCATTTGACAGCCTGCCGCAAAGAGCTTGAGCTCATCTCTCCTGACAGCACGGCATTCCCGTCCTCTTCCTCAGGTGCTACAGATGGAAAGCCTGAAAGAACGGAGACGACTTACAAGACAGTTTGGAAGGGAGCATCAATATTTCATCACAACTGCGTTTACACTCGCAAACAAACAAAAAAGATTGCATGTGGAACTTTCCTGCGGCGCTCCCTCCTCTCCATCTTTGTGAGCTTCTCTTTCTTGTCTGAACATTTGCTTTTAGACAGGTATGGGATTTTGATTTTTGAATAACAACTGATAACAGGTCATGTTGTTTTTCCTTTTGTTTAGTGGGAAGTTTGAACGAGCGGTAGTAAAAGTATGTCTTGGAAATATATATATATATATACACCTATAAAAATAGAGTGATTTATGGTGCTTTCACAGTCTAGTCTGCAAGAGAATGCACGTCGTAATAAAAAGGGAATCGTTGTAAATCTTTCTAACTTTGATAACATCATTATAAATTCATTTCCTGTTCACAAAAAGTGTGATCTTAAATTTAGCCCCAAACAAAGACTTTACCATGGTTCAGAAAATCTACCATGTTTTTTTTTTCTTATTCTACATTCCTGGCCTTGTTGTGTACGATTTATTGGCACACTTGCTGTAAATAAAAAAAAGTTGCTGCCTTAAATTTTTAAGTACTATCAACTTGGATGTTTAAGTCACTTGCATATTAAACTGACTAAAAATAAACTTGTAGGATAACTTGTAAAAAAAAGTGTAATATTTCTTATAGCAAAGTTATAGCAATGCAAAAACACATGTTGTCAAAACGTACCGATCATATACTTTTTTTTTTTTTTACAGTGTACAAAATGTTATTTCAAATTGCAAGTTTCAAAGGCAAACAATTTTATCAAAATGTAAAAATTTGATAAAATGGAAACTTTCTGCCAGGAAGATTAAATTGCTACATCACTTATTACCTTCTCATCAATCCAATCATATCTAATAATTCCGGTATAAAAGACCAGTACTTACACATGTTTGAGTTTGCAGATGCTGACGCTTTCATTCACCTCCATCCTCCTCACCACCACCAAGATGGTTTCTTCTTCCCCTCCATCCTCCCCACAACCACCATCATCCTATACCTCCTAGACCTAGGGTGTCGGCTGCGCCCCTGCCTTCGTCTTCAAGCAGGAAATGCAGAGTCCGGACCTTCGGATTGCAGCTATGGACAGGGCCTATGCCAAAGTCATTTATTGCTTGCAGGACTATCAATAAATGTATTCATTGTTACAGTATTTATTCTCCCGAGTCTTCCTCGTAGAAATGCCTTTCCTTCTTAGCCTAGAAATCTAGACGCACCCTAGTGGCAGCAAAAATTATTTTGCAGCAAACTGTGGTCTAGCGACGCTCCGTTGCCTTTCGAAATGGAAAAACCAAACGCTGGTCAGGCCAATCACATCGTCTATAGAGTTGGTGGGCGGGCTTAACACAATGACGGCCGAGTTGTGACGGTTCTGCGCTGTGACTTTCCATAGGTGATTTCCCTGCTACTTAAAAACAAACAAGATGCTGCTGGCGAACAGCGGCCTTTCGATTCGGCTTTGGCCGCGACTCTGGATGACTTGGAGTTAAGAGAACGAAGGAAGATGAACTTAAAAAAGGAAGATGTGTCCGGAGTTTTGACAACCGGATACGGCAAACGTTTAATATATCAACTTGCTCCGCTGGAGGGAAAACGCATTGGACTCATTGGTTGTGGCGCTATCCTATTGCGTGCGGAGGGATATTGAAAGACAACCTTTTATCCCGCCCCTCGGATTGAGGTATGCCAATTGTGAGTTCCCAGACCTAACATCTTGATATGTCTGGCTTGCCAGGCTATTTCCTTCTAAGCTCACATCACAAATTCCAGATAGATTAAATATCCTGCCTCCATTTGTTCTCACTGAATATGATTTTTACTCATAAATAGGCTGTCATACAACAAAAGTAAAATGGGTTGTGAACACTGTTTCAACATCAAACTATTTAAACCAGCCTGGTCTGTTGGCTAGTTTAAGAGAAGGCTGTAAGACCAGTTTAAACTAGCTAAGACCTGCTTTTATTTTTCTTCAGCTTGTTAAAGGAGATCCGTAATAATTTATTATGAATTTAGTTCTTATTTTAGTATGAACTATAGTTTATAATGGTAAACGTTAAAAGCCTTAATCTGTTGTGTCATATAGTCTACACTACTTTATGCCGCAGTAATGTTCATTTGAATAAGTATGCCATCTAATAGCATAAGTTATTCATCCGCATTTGCCTTTTCATTCATTGATATTCATTACAGGACAAAAGGCAAGCATGAAGTAAATACATGTGATCAGTCAGCGCTTTACTCATTCACTTCTCATGGGATCATAACCTGCGCACACAGGCCCAGAGCCTTGAGGCTGTTCTATTAGAAGAGACACGCCATCACGTCTCCAACTGCGAGTCTGATAAATATCCCCGCTGACTTCTGAAGACATCATCTCTCTTTTTTTAATGATAATCAAGCAAATGCACTTCCCTGCTCAGGATGAACAGCCAGGGTCTATCTAAGCGAGCACCGACTGAACAAACTCCCCGGCGACACGTTGTCAGGAACGCACGCTTTCCTTAAGTTGCCACGAAAATCTTTCTTTGAATCCGTGTTTGTTTGGCTTTGAATTTGCTCCGGCGTTTATCACAGAGATAGCGGAGGAGCGGGGAGGGGAG